AAAAAAAGTAAAGCTATCCCTGTAACAGGTCATGAAGGCCCATAGGGTTGTGAGACGTTGAGGGTCCCACATTTTCTAGACATTCGGCTCAAAGATGGCGGTAAGGGTGTCAGCCCTGCGCGCCGGCCGCGCTTTACTCCTCAGGAAAATTATTTAATTAATTCCTGGTACTCATTTCTGTTAGAGGCTGAGTAAACCCCAGGGGCTAGTGCGGCTGGAAGGATTAGGTCAACTGAAAAAAAATCCAATGACCTCATCGGGACTTGAACCCGCGACCTTCCGGCTTGTAACATAGCTCCTCACGTTATATGTTAGTATCTGTTTAATATATACTCTAAAGAGCGTTGTTTGCATTGTTTTGGTATCACTCTATTCCATCATATTCATTTTATAAGCTGTTTATAACAATTTTGTATGTTTATATTGATTTCTCTCTCGATTTTTCCTGATGTCCATTCCGAACAAAAGCAAATTAGTCTTTACACATTCGAATGGCAACCAATCACTCCCTTTTCTTTTGCCTTTTCTTTTATCATTTATTCCTTCCTGTGACTATATGGTACTATTTCCATCTTTCCTTATGTCTTGTAATGTGCGCAGAAAAGAGGACACTTCGGTGCTTAGTAACCACGAACAAAGAACAACAAACATGTACACGTGAACAGATCTTTTAAAAACACGAAAATTACACAGTAAATTTGGTGGCAAAAGGCCAGTGCCAACCTTCCCGCTGATGTTTTTCCGTCTTTCAAAATAAGTTCTGACAATTATATTAATATTTTTTATAGTATTAATTCTAATAATTTTTGTCGCTTACGTAAAATGTTGTTGAGAAAATAGGCTTCCGTTATCATCACCCAGCTTGGCCCGCGGAGGGTTCTGGGTTCTTGACCGTCAAGCAAAAATAGTTTGCTTCTCACTCGTCTGCAACTTCAGCGTTTCCATGCAGGAGCACTGTGATGGAAGACAGTTCTGGGAACAACTTGGTGTGTAAACACGATAACATCTCAGCTTTCATTGCTGCAAGACGCATGTCGGGGAACGTACGGTACATCTCACATTGGCTTGAGGCCTAGCGCTCATTTGGAATGCGGGCCTTTTCAGTACAAAAAATAAGAATGGTTGGAAAAGGGAAAGAATGAAATGAGTAAAGGATGAAAGGAGAAAGAAGGAAGAAATAAAGGAATCAGAAAATGCACTACATTTCAGAATAGGTGTTCAGCGCGAGTTGACAAAATGCGCCCATTGGCTTCGACACGTGTATTTGTTCGCACTCGAGAGCCAGTGAACGGATTTTGATGATGAAATTTAATTCTTGGAAGATTTACTAAATTACATGAATACATTTCAGTTTTAATAAAAATCAGATAGCAATAATGACCACGAAGACTTGAATGTGTCTCTACATACAACTCTACCATAACACACTATATCCGTTGGTAAGAAGAAAATATTTCCGGAAATGAAATGGTTCTCGGGGATAATTAAACCGAACAGAAAACGAGGCGCTGTTACTATATACGTAAATTTTCCATCGAACGTCGAGCTCAAGTGGGTAGGACTTCTACTGCGTGTTCATGAGGTCCGGGGTTCAAATCTTATGTGAAAAGCTGCTATCCTGACTCAAAATATTTCAGATTCTGTAAGATTTGAGGTTTTCACGGTAGTGACTATGAAAAATGCCGTGTTCTGGGATGTGGCGCAGTGTAGATATTTTGTTAACCGACGTTTCGGAGGAATGTATCGCCTCCATCTTCAAGGTGTAAGAAATCCGCGAGCAATGAACCAGCGTGAGCAGGTGTCTGTAGACTGAGTCAGCATCGTTAAATATATCATAAACAAATACCGTTTCTAAACTCATTTTATTTAGTACGTGTAAATTAAGTAGAGCTATCCCTTTAACAGGCCGTGGAGGCCAATAGGGTTGTGAGTCGTCGAGGCTTCCACATTTTCTCTAGACAATCGGCTTATAGATGGAGGTAAGGCTGTCAGCCTTACGCGCCGGTTATCCTTTTCACCCAAGAAGATTCCCGGTACTCATTTCTGTTCAAGGCTGAGTCGAACCCAATTGAAAACAAAATCCATCTCATCGGGACTCCAACCCGCGACCTTCCGGCTTGTAGCATAGTGCCTCTACCAACTACGCTACCGCGTGCCACCGTTTTATTTAGTTCTAATTTTAATATGAGTGATCATAAAAGAGAAGTTGGATTCTGAATAAGTCGTGAAGTATTATTATCCATGGTCCTATACTTTTGCCTCAAGATTTCTCTGGAATACGCACGCGCTGTGTCTCACTTTGTACGCGACCGGTTTCCTGGAGACCAGAAGCAAGGAGTTCTCAGAAGAACTAATCATGAGGATCCGCCATCTGCATGGCAAGGCAAACGCACAAACAGATCTCGCTGAATTCTCTGTAATACAGACGTCCAATTTAACCAATTAAATCACATCAAGAAGTTCTGGGAAGAACATCTACTTTAATTCGGTCGCTTCAGTGTGAGACTTGTGATTCTGACGGCAGTAAAAATGGAATGTGACGTCATACAGTCTAATGCAAAGGTACCACTGTTCTGGATGAACCTGCCATATTTAGGATAAAAGAGCTAACTTGTTGTTGTTTTTGTTGACGTTATTGGAGAGGGTGGGTTTCCCCATGCACTTAGACCAGATTTGGTCCATTGTGCGCCCCCCCTGTGATATTCTACCAGTCTCTATACCCTACCGGTACTGGTGCGTGTAATCAGTCCCGACTCAGCCAGCGAGTTCGGCCTCTACTGGCTCAGCGGTATCTCGATGCTTCCCTCATCTACCAGAGGCGTTAGAGACTACTGTTGGGCGGGAAATGTCCTGAATTTGGCTCAGAGGTCTTACGTGCCGTAAAGCTAGGACACGGGACCCACGGCTTAAAGTCCCTCCCGGAGGACTTGTTCCCTGAATTTTTCCGCCCTTAAAAATTCCACGACCTCCGCCGGGTTTGAACCCGCGTACCTTGAGTCACGAGGTGGGAACGTTACCCCTAGACTACGGAGGCCGCTATAAAAGAGCTAACTTCTACTCTGAAGACGCAGGCAGCAGGTTGCTCCGAAACGTTGGTACCTATCCACCAACCTACACGGCTTCACATCGCATAAGACTAATATGAATTTATGTGGCTCAGGAAAGGGTCCAGAGGTGGGCTCTTGTCAACATGGCAATGAATCGTCTGGCTTCTTAAGAGGGAGAAATGAAACTGAGTGACTGTAACCTGTTCAGGAAGGGCTCAACCTCACGTTGTTAGATTCTGTACATTATACACAAAACAATAATTTTGCTTGTTATTTTGTATCCATGTAAAATATATTTCTTACGCTGAATGCAGAACTTGACCGCCTCTGTGGTCTAGTGGTCAGAGTTCCTGGCTACAGATCCTAAGGTCCCGGCGCTACCAGATTTTCTGAGAAGTAGTGATTCTGGAACAGGGTCCACTCAGCCTCGTGAGGATAATTGAGGTGCTACTTCAAGGGAATAGAGGCTACGGTCTAGAAAACGGAAATTAATGGCCGTGAGGATTTGTTGCGCTGACCATGTGACACCCTCTATCCGCTAAAGTTGGAACTAACTTCGCCGACGTGCAGCGGTCGCTCGGTCGGTATAGTTCGCTTGCGGACTCAAGTAACAGAGTTTGTTTGTTTGTTTTTAAATATAGAACTCGTATTGCAAGTGTTTGAAACCAAAGCTTAACGCTGAACAGAGAATATACATTACAAATGTCTGGAGACTAAGTACTGAAGAAAATATTTGGACCTAAAGAAGATACAAGTGGACAATGTCCGTCATTACATACAAACCATAACATATTCTATAATATAAACCAAAAGGGACCCAGGCGTAGGTGGGTGGACAATATTAAAATGGATCTTAGAGAGATAGGGTGGGATGGTATGGATTGGATTGATCTGGCTAAGGTTAGGGACCAGCGGAGGGCTCTTGTGGACACGGTAATGAACCTTCGGATTCCATAAAATGCTGGGAAATTCTTGAGTAGCTGCAGATTTGGCTTCTTCTCAAGAAGGGCTCAGCTCCGTAAGTAAGCAAACCAAAAGGACGCTGAGACCTAGGAAGACCTTGGAAAATATGGCATAAATGTGTGAAATAGGACACGTTTCATGCCACATCATTTATAAAAAGATAAGTAGAGAAAAATACGAGGGAAAGGTAGAGTTGTCCAGTGAGGAACTCCGGCATGTATACAGGCCACCTTGGCGCAGTGAACCTGAAGAGGCTACAGTGAGTTGAGCCGGTAGATAGGTGAGAAATACAAGGATTTCACAGAGCCAGATAGTTGGGTAACATAACAGAGAACACTCACTTGTGGCCAAGGAGTTGGGACAGTAAAATTAAGACCGATCTTAGTGAAGCAGGTTGTCAGGATGCGAGAAGGATGGAAATGGCCCTGGATTATGTCCAGTTGTAGGTTTTGGTATGATCCGTGTTGAACTTCGGGATTCTGCTACCATAAAATGAGTTCTGCAACATATAACTTCAAAGTTGCGCACTAAAACTGAAGCCATGTTTGGAATCCACACAATTTCACTTGTCAAACTCCAATGGTTCAGCACTTACCGCCATCATATAGAAAGCTTATTACAGATTTCGCGCGGCCGCCATGTTACTGTCCTACATGGAAGCATCTAGATACCGCTGAGCCAGTAGAGGCCGAACTCGCTGGCTGAGTCGGGACTGATGGCACGCACCAGTATCGGTAGGGTATAGAGACTGGTAGAATATCACAGGGGGACGTACAATAGACCACTGGTCGCGGTGCATGGGGAAACCCACCCCCTTCAATAATAATAATAATACTGTCCTACATTCTAAAAAATTACACATAATTTTCGAATGTATATCAACATTCTACATTAATTAGCGCTATTAACGTGTCCACATTCAGAATTAGCACAGATGCTGTACTGGTATTAATGATTGGGGCCCCTAAGACCCCTAGGGGTGACACTCACCGAGTCCCAAATCAACCCACTGCTCCACAATGGTCCAGCTGGCGTCCTTGGCCACCCGGTTCTTCAGTGCCAAGAGATGACAAAGGTCGCTAGCCCGTAAGTTGCGTTCTACCACCACCAGCTGGCAGCTGCCGTCGTCATTGTGGAACATGAGTTCCTGCTGAACAAACAATGTGCAATTTCAGTATTAGCTAACTCTATCTGACAGAGGCCTCCTTAAGAAGTTAGCAATTGTTCTGCTGCTCAAGACATATTTCTGCTTCTGTGGACCCCAAGGGCTCCTTACTATGATCACATGAGTCCGCCACTGGGCTGTATCCTGAGCCAGTTGAATCCGCGCCATACCCTCCCTCTCTAGGCCTACTTCTTTAAGATCTATTAACANATATATATATATATATATATATCGGAAGCTGTCATACACGTGTACGGTTTATGTCATCAGAAAGGAAATCTCTTAAAGTATTTTTTTTCCATACCCGGCTTACGCTTATACGCCGCCACATTTTTGCCACCATCTTAGGAATCGCCTGGACAGAGAGATGGCTGGGATATGAATTGGCAGAGGTGGACCAATCACTTGGCCTCCTTGGTCGCCAGATTTAACCCCAGTGGATTTTTTCTTGTGCGATTATGTGAAGAACATTGTCTACCAGGTTAAGATCAACGAGCTTCAACACCTGAAAGCCCGCATAAAGGACGCTGTGGCTACGGTAACACCAAACATCCTCCAAGCCTGGATATTTGTCGTGCCACCAAGGGGGCCCACATTTAAATTTATTGAGAAAGTTATATACGCAAAAAAATAACTTTGATAGTTTCCATATGTAATGGTGTAACCCATTAATGTGTATAATAAATTCTTTCTGAGATAAAATGATTTTATTTTGGATACCATTCATCCGGACACCCTGTACTGACTGGGTTTTTTGGTGGTTCTTCCTCAGTCCCGCCATGTAAATGCCTCAAATTACGCCATGACTGTGCTTCCTTCCACACCATTATACACTTATCATCCTACCATTGGACAATACACGCCCATACCCTGGGCTGTTTACATTATAGTTAAACAAATCATATATAAAAGTGACTGTTTATATTATACAGTCTGTAGCACGTATCTTCCCACCCGACTGGCCAATCACAGCGCTGTAGTTGATACTGCGTCACACGGTAATCGAAAACAACCATTTCTCGTATCTAGCCCTTTCGTAAACATATTTATCTGAAAGAACTTACTGCTCTGACAAACACTACAAAGGAGACACGTTATGACACTCTGGCTGGTCACACAATTCTAGTTTTAAAAAATTTGACTTGTAAGAAAAAAATATAAAGCGGGTATAGACAATTTGATGTAATCTGATCTAAGTTAATTATTAAATCCAGTAGGCAGGTTACTTGAACTTGGATTTATTAGCAGCTGTAAGGCACAAGAGATCACTGTGGTCGCGGTGCAAGGTCCAAGAAGGCCCACTCCTTATACATTAGCAGATGGATCGATTTAATCTCGAAGAATATGATTTTATTTAGTCCCCATAGCAAGTGACTGCCTACTAGCTAGAAGTGCGGGGTTCGATTTTCTCCGCCATTATTTTTTCCGGTTCGAAGATGCAGCACAGAAGGTTAAAAGCGAAGAATAAAAGGACTTATTTAAAATATATGAAACTAGGCTTCACACATGAATGATGGAGCCGGCATAGCTCAGTCGGCATAGTGACTAGGCTACGGAATGAATAACCAAGGGGTTGGGATTTGATTCCCGGTAAGGGCAAGAGATTTTTCTCTTCTTCACAACGTCCAGACCAGACCTGGGACCCCCCCAGTCTCCTATAAATCGGGTACAGTGGAAAGTTTCCCCGGGGATAAAGCGGCTGGGGTGGGTGAAGCCGACAACTCACCTCTATTAGTGGCAAGGTTAAGAATAGTGGAGCTATATGTCCACTTCCCCATACGTTTTTATGGATTGGTGTTTACTGAATTTTTCTTTATTGCTAGTGGGGTGGGACTAAGTCCCTTGTACTGCGGCCACTTCTGGCCTACTGTACCAGCCCCAGGTGATAGGTGAGGGTGATTGTGGAGCAATTGGTGGAATGAAGATTGGCAGGGGAAACTGAAGTACTCGGAGAAAACCTACCCCAGCGCCACTTTCTCCACCACAAATCCCACTTGGCCAGACCTGGGATCGAACCCGGGCCGCCGCGGTGGAAAGCCAGCGACTAACCGCTTGAGCTATGGCGTGGCCTGTTTACTGAACTAAGCCAAGGGATAACTTTGCCTTTTATACACGAGATACTTACACAAACTTGTATAGGTCTTGAGTGTTGATGGACATATTTTTTAAGATGTTGGAATGTTTAGTTACTATGCACTCTGATAACACGGAAAAAATGACATCAGTGAAGAAGTCGGGGTGATAGCTGCTGCAGGCAATCAATTATTATGGGTCAAAATACGTTTAAGGCTGGTACTGTGAGAATACCAAAGATTAAACTACACAAAACACCGTTAAAACCTGTTGTGATGTACAGATGTGAAACATAGTCCACGATTGGACAGAATAAATTATGTTAAATACGAGAAACAGGAAACTTTTAAAGAAGGCACATGGAGCAGTAATTGAGTACGAGGTTCAGAAGTCGAACTAAGAATTGAGGAGAAGGTTGAAACGGGTTGGGCATGTAATTGCAATGAATTAACAAGGATGATAAATAACATGTTCTAAAGTTGTTAAAAGGAAGAAGAAAAGTAGAAGTCCCAGAATGAGACGAATGGATTAAAGAATGTTTTACGACTGATGAAAGTAAAGACAAAACGCAAATATTTGAGAAGAACCGACATTTGTCATAAGGAAGGCAAATGTTCTTGAACGGCTTGGGAAACAGCGGGTGAATTTGATTTGGTTCATCCTCGTCCGTCACACTAACAATTTTATAAAAGGTTAATAATTAATTCCGTCCATTGTGACTGATGGGAGTTTCTTTCCCTCCTTTTTAATATTTTATCCTTAATATGTTTCGGTCATATAGACCATCTTCAGAAGGATATCAATACAATTAGAAACCACTATTACAATATGTTTTGTGACTATTAATATATACATACAATTTGATTTGTTTCATTCTGTTCCGTGACACTAACAATTACAAAGACAAAAATAACACCGTCTAATGTGACTATTTAAGTTTTATCATTTGATGATAATTGATAATTTGATGATGATTTGATGATAAGGCTGACGAGACTTCAAATGATAAAACTTAAATAGTCATATTAGATGGTGTTATTTTTGTCTTTAATATACATACAATGTTATGATACAATGAGTACAAAATCTAATGTTTTTAACAACTACAACGGCTTGTACTTATACGTTAAAATATTTATAAATTACAATTGGTATGTTTAAAAAAATGATAAAATGTTTAAACCAAATTGGTTCGTGCCTTTTTATTTCTTCTCTTTGGAGGAAGCCAAGCGTCTACCGTCTTGAGATTCTGTTGTTTGGGGAATAGGATTCTTCAGTGTAGTCCTATGATGTTCGAGGCGCGCTGTGTTGTCTTTCTGAAGATGGTCTATAAGCCCGAAACATGTTTAGGATAAAATATTAAAAAGGAGGAAGAAAACTCCATGTCACACTGGACGGAATTAATTAACCTTTTATAAGCGAGTGAACTGCGTTTGCTCAGGCCGGCTGTGGAACTCAATCAGTGTCCTATGGAATGGGCAACGAGAGATCTTCCCCCCAAATTAAACTTGTCACAGAGCGCAGCTGACCACTCTCTTTCATCTAGTGTCGAGTTTAAGAACGTGCAAGCCATAGTACATCCCCCTATATATATATATACTCGTAATAACGTAGTGCATATTCACAGGGATATCGAATCGTCATTCGCGAGCCACAGACTGCTACACGGGTAGAAAATACGGAACGAACTTTTGAAACAACTTATCCTCGGTCAGTTTCACAAAATAATTTATGTCCCTCCCATTATTTGTTTCGAGAACGCCCCGATATACCTCTTTCTCTCTGGGCGCATCCTCATCTGGGCAAACCGACGCCAACTCCAGGAGACGCTCGTAGCCCGAACAGCTGCACTTCATCTTGTTGTAGCTTCCCCCGTCTGCAAGAACAAGCAACCGGAGTTACACGCGACTCCACGCCAAAACTTTCAGCGCAGTTGCTTCTTTGAGGCGGGATGTCGCAATAAACTGCGATGCAACACGACACACAAGAAACTATAAACCACATGGCCTAAGCCTGAAAGACACGATTTTCTGGAAACACACAGACGAGTAGTAAACTTCCACACACCGAGGAGAATAGGGACCAGAATAAAAGTAAGAACTACATATAAGTAGGAACCACAAAGATAGGGGACAATATTTCTTTTTATTGCTAGTGGGGTGGGACTAAGTCCCTTGTACTGCGGCTACTTCTGGCCTATTGTACCAGCCCCAGATGATAGGTGAGGGTGATTGTGGAGCAATTGGTGGAACGAAGATTGGCAGGGGAAACCAAAGTACTCGGAGAAAACCTGTCCCAGCGCCACTTTGCCCACCACAAATCCCACCTGACCAGACCCGGGATCGAACCCGGACCGCCGCGGTAGGAAGCCAGCGACTAACAGCTTGAGCTATGGCGCGGCTCTAGGGACAATAAGAACACCATCAAAATTAGAACGGCACAGCTTTAAACGGTGATTGTGCAAATAAAAGCAGTAGTCAAAGGGACTTAAATGTTGTATTTAGATTGTGGTTTTCTGGCTTAAAGAACCGGTAGGTGGTTACTAATGATATGCAGCTGTCATTTCAGGGCCTCACAATGAACCGCTTACAAGATTGAACGGTATCATGACCCAGAAGACCACATCTAAACCTTCACCGCCCTAGAGAACTCAAATCTCGCTAAAATATTGTGATTTTCAGTTCAATGCCAAGACTTACATAACTTGTCTGGGGAAGTCTTACAGTCGTGTGCAAGCACAGAAATTGAAAATTTGTATAAGGTGACGTTTCCACGGTGGCAATGATTCAGGGTTGACAGTATGTTCCTCCTAAACATTTGTATGCGCCTACCAGACTACATGGTGTCACAATCACAAAGACCAAAAGATCGTAAATAATCACCCAAGGTATTAAGCAAATATTTATAGGTAAAAGTAAAAAAAAGTAAAGCTTTCCCTGTAACAGGCCGTGGATGCCCATAGGGTTGTGAGATGATGAGGTTCCCACATTTTCTGGACAATCGGCTGATAGATGGCGGTGAGGTTGTCAGCCTTACGCGCCTGCCGCCCTTTACCCCCAAGAATATTCCTGGTACTCATTTCTGTTAGAGGCTGAGTCGACCCCAGGGCCATAGTGCGGCTGGAAGGATTAGGTAAATTAAAAAAAAATCCAATTGCCTCATCGGGATTCGATCCCGCGACCTTCCGGCTTGTAGAATAGTGCCCCAATATTTACAGGTATAAATCAAAATTGTCAGAACCGCTATCGAGAAAAGCGACGTTTTGCTTTTCGGACATATTAAGGGTCCATATTATTGGAGTTCGAGTGTTTATATTCAGCGGGAACCAGCCTGGGATAAATAGATTCTTGATTAAGAAATATAAGTGAAATCCATCCTCTCGTTCAGTCGCTAGCGAGGGACACATACTGACAGACGGCTTTCCACAAAACCTTTTTTGGTTTTTCGACCAGGAAGCTGAAAGCGTGTAAATCCGTCAAAATCTCGACATACATGTTTTCTTTTCTCACTATCACATGCCCTCTAAGGAGTGAAGGGGTAAAAGTGACACCCGCCTGTGAAAAAACCTATCATGCACAGTCTACAACATCCATTGTACTACAGGCAGTTGTGACATGAAGGACGGCCACAAAGTAAATTTGTCTGTACCGTGGAGTGATTCATTAAACCTTCAATACACACAGTAATGTCAGTGTAAAGACTCCTCAACTACGAGGGTATGAATGAATGTACAAGGGGTGGGCCTTCTCGGCCCTTGCAAAGTCAATAAATAAGTTACAAATGGATATAGAACTTAAACAAATAAGAGTACTGATTTGAAAAATGCTTTCATTTCTCAACACAATCTCCCTGTACAATGAGGTACTTGTCCCATCGTTTCAGAAGCCCCTGAAAACCAGCAGCATAAAATTCTTTGGGTTGCTGTAGGAACCTGGCGGTGACTTCCCTTTCTACAGCTCCATCGTCGGGAAAATGTTCAGCCGAAAGATGATGTGACAATTCGGGCTAGCATATCGTGTCCTTCATCGTGGTAGCTATTGAGATGCTGTAATGACAGACCCATTCTTTGCATTTTGTGTTGTGGGGTCAGCATGCGTGGCACCCGTCGTGCACAGACTTTGTGAAAACCTAACCTGTCATGCATTATTAGATAGGCTATGCCGTGTGAACAACCAATAGCAGTGGCTATAGTGTGTATAGTTACCCTTCTGTAGGGAAGTCACCGCCTGGTTCTGACAGCAGCCCAAAGAATTTTATGCTGCTGGTTTTCAGGGGCTTCTGAAACGATGGGAAAGTGCCTATGCTGAGAAATAAAAGCATTTTCCAAATCACTACTCTTATTTGTTTAAGTTCTATATTCATTTGTAACTTACTTATTGACTCACCCAAGTATCTAACTACTCCACCTCCATGTAGACGAAAACACGCCCTGAGAAGAGTTTCATCCCCTGTCCATAGAAGCCAATGCCTTGTTCCTTGAGCCACTGTTTCACTGACGTGTCCTTATCAGTTTTGGCTCCCTTTCGGTCAATACAATACTGCCGTGAAAGGGGTCAAGTCTGATTTCTTTCAAGTTTTTCATAATTCGTATATTTTTCCTATTCTGGGATTTATGTATAAGGGAGTGTCATTAAATAAATTTACACAAGGTAAAGCAGCTCAAGTTAAGCATCATGCCTTCGGTGGAATAGAGGTATAGCTCCAGCCGTTCTTAACCTCTGCTTTAGATGGATATAATTGACCAACATCACTCTCCCGCCGTATTACCTCTGTGAAAAGAATCCGCGATACCCAATGGATAGGAAGAAACTGCCAGAAATCGAACCTTAATTTCCAGGTCTCCTAGTCAGTAGCCTACTCACTTTTCCGACAGGTCCATTAATATCTGTTGACAGGTTTAGTAACAGGTTCGCATAGCTTACCATATTTAGAGAAAATGATTCATAGATGAAAGGCCAGACCACCGATAGTCGGACGACATGCCCTTAATTCGCTCTACGTCTAAAGAACGCCTAACTTTTTTTATGTGTTATTCGGGATACGACATTAGAAAAGTGTGTAAGTGAGACGAGGCTCGAACTTGGCAGAACCTGCTTATCCTTCAGAAACTGACAAACACTGAGATATTTCTGGGCCCCCATAACCTCGATGGACACTACTCCCTACTTAGCGCCCACACCCTCAGATGTTATTTCTGCACGGACCTCCTTCGTGGGTGTCTTACGTCTGTCACTGTGTACGTAGTAGTACACTGAATGCACTTGAGTCTGGTCACAAGGACGAGAAACAGTTGTCGTGACACAATTTGTCTGGAAAAATAATGTCACCTTGGAACACTCAAACACTTCCTAAAGTGACTGCCTGGCTACTTAATGACAGAACATCGGTCACGATAGTTGTTCGATGTATCTGATTATTTAACAACAAAATAATACAGAAACTGAAGTCACGGAAAGCTGAAAGTGATTAATTACATCAGATTTTCATTCGAACCTCGACAGAAGTTAACATTTTTACTGACTTTCCACAGTTCTTCCAAGGAAATACCTGCCAACAGTTTGTTAAACAAGTTAGGAAAACTACAATTCTGGCGCGTTCACGCTGTTATGTCTCTAGATTTCAAAATTGGGAATTCCAGCTCTTGATGTGTTCTTACAAATAATACAAAATAGGAGGAACGACCGAGCCCTGGCAAAATCAGCCCAACGTTTCTCGGTGCATAAAAATCACTTTCAGCTATTTCGAATATCGCAAGACTTACGGAAAGCGTCATGGGCTGTGTTTCTTTTCTTCTCCCCCCCCCAAAAAAATTTTTTTTTGTTCGACACATTTTCCCTTTCATATATGCATTTTGCGGGTTATATGCAAGTTACTCTCGGCATGCCTGAAGAAACGCATGTAGTCTTCACAGTGTGTGTTATTGCTGTTCCATTTTAACCCAAACGGGAATGTAGCCACAAATTTTAGTAAATGGTAAATTATGCGGATTACAGTGGCCGCGCAGTCTAAGGCATGAACTGTCTTCACTCGCTTGAACGCTTGGATCGTGAGTTCGAATCCCACTCGAGGCATTGACATCCGTGTACGTTTATTCTGGGTTTGTGTTGTTCTGTTTGTAGGTAGCGGCCATGTGACGGGCTGATCCCCCGTCCAAGGAGTCCTACCGACTGTGTATAGGATTAAGGAACAAAAAAGCGGCAAAGGTCGAAAAAAGGGCTGTAGAGCCATAGACAAATAAAGGTACATTATCCTTGTAATTAATTATATAATTAAGAAATATTCCATGAAGGCATATAAGGGAGTGAAGGTATGGCTCCACTATTCTTAACCTTGGTGCTAGATGGAGATGAGTGGTCTGATTCACGGCCCTGCCGCTCTACTCTTGGGGCCCATAGGATGGGATGTATGGATTGGATAGATCTGGCTCAGGGTAGGGACCAGTGGAGGGCTCTTGTGAACACGGTGATGAACCTTCGGGTTCCATAAAATTCTGGGAAATTCTTGAGTAGCTGCAGAATTGGCGGCTCCTCAAGAAGGGCTCAGCTTCATGAGTAAGTAAGTAAGTAAGTAAGTAAGTAGTTCAGTGGTGTAAATGTGTTAATCATGTATTGCCTGATAATGGCTTTAATAGCCGAAATATGTAGCCGAGCCAATCTTGACCTTGATACTGTTGTGATGGATTTTAATAAAGAAATTGTATTTTTCTATATCGTTCACATCGGACTGAGGAATCTATCACACCGTGGTGTGGGGAGTTTTGTTTGTTTGTTTGTTTGTTTGTTTATCCCTTGCCCATACATGCAGTCGTCACGCTGTTACAATCATCATTTCACTTTTGTTTACACCCAGTCATTAGTTTTGGCCTTCATGTGCTTC